TAGGATATTTACTAGAACGCCCTTTGTAGCGGGTGCACCAGGCTTCATTCCCGCACTTTGAAGCAAGGAAAACCAGCTTCCGGCCTTCACCTCGGCTCCGAAGAAGGTACGCTGAGCCCACGCCGCGATCGAGCCTACAAATGACTAAGAACTTACTCAACAAAGCAATTGGAGAAAAAGTACCTTTCTCTGGGCCGCTAGGGCCAATGCCGAACAGCTGAATCAGAGGGTCTAAAATCCATTCCTCCGGGATGAGCATGGTAATCGCAGTGACTACGAGGATAGGGAGCAGTTCTGGATGCTGCTCAGCAATGTCTCCTGTGCAGAGTGAGATAAAGCACTATCAATCTTCCCTGAGGTAATGGATAACAATTTGATGACCAACCGATCGTCACGACGATCACGACGAGGATCTAGCGCAAAGCATCCAAGTGTGGTCTCACGTCCTCCTCGGGGAGCCCTGCCTGAACGCAAACGCTCACGATAGCATCTTCTGCTTCAGATAGGATCATATTGAACAGCTCCTGTCGTGCGGCATGGCCTGATGCGTGATTTGGCGGCGGGAACGCGGCTACGAGCTTCTCAGCAAGTCCAGCGTAGACTTTGTTCACGCTCTCGGAGATGTTATCAAAGATGCTCCCGTTGTTTTCGCTTATAGCCCCGATGTTAGCTTTGAATTGCGCGGCCAGAGGGACGATGTCCGAGAGGGCGTCCTTGATGGTGTCTAGTTCTTCAGAGTAGTCTGTATATGTGGAGCGAATATCTTCTATGACGGAAGCAGCATATGTCTGTGCGAGATCGCCGAGCTGCGCTATGCTCTCCCTGACATCTTCCAGGAAATCCCTTTCGACAAGTGCCACCCGCTGACGGAAAAGTGATGCTGTGAGATTGTATGATAGCAGTTCGTGACGTCAACAAGCTATACCTTATGCAAGGCTATCTCATCTGTCACTCCCAACGGGCGGCGGCTCATACGGCACAGGAGCGAAATTAAGTTTCAAACAAGCAGGATTCACATCTTTGCAAACATACCCCAGGCTTGCGATAGCGTTAGGTATCGCATTCACTTGGAGCGGTGCAATGACACTCATGAAGATGCCGACACTGAGAGTCGGCTAAACACAGGTGAACGCGAGACGCATGGTTGCAGCTGGATGCACAGAGGACGGAGGAGCTACTCTTCCTTCCTTCCTCAGCGCGCCCTTATAGTACAGCGTCTGAAAGAAGACCAAACCTAACATTACGTGACGGCACCGGCGCGGGCCATGCAGTGCTACTTACGGGGGACTAGTATGTTACGCTGACTCCAGCAGCAGGATTCAAGCTGTGCTCAAATTCAAGTAGCTTGCATCACGATACAAGGACCCATCATGGCTGTAATTGGAGAGCATTCGCGTGATACGCGCGGGCCGCGTCCAGTATACCCCTCCACAATGGGGGGAAAGCATGAACAAAGCAGAGAATCTCGATGGTCGAGGAAGCGCGCTTTCAAGGATACATATACACACCATACCCATAATAATTTAGATATTATACCACAAAGGAGAACGCTCAAGACGCCGATGATGTCGACCCGTCCATGAACACCTTTGTACAATGTCAATATGATGACTCAGTATTAGAAACCAGACGATTCATGACATGCTCACCGTCGCTCAGCACCCACCACAACCCCCGCCCCCGCAAGAGCTAACCCCTCCACATGCAGACGCAGATCCCCCGCACGCTGCCGCAGACGTGGATCCGCCCCCACACGCCGCTGCAGAGGTTGACCCGCCCCCGCATGCCGCCGCCGAGGTCGATCCGCCCCCGCATGCCGCCGCAGATGAAGGTCCTCCACAACCCGCGGCAGATGACGAGCCCCCTCCACAACCCGCTGTGGAGGACGGCCCCCCTCCTGAGGTCCCGACACTACCGCCCCCGCCTCCGCAAGCGGCTAGGCCGCCACCACCAGAGGCCGTCGACCCTCCAAACCCACTACACGACGTGCCGACCATGACTGGCGCGCCCGCAAACGCAGCGCCCCGTGTCGCCGCTGCACACGGCGCCGCACCGGTCCACGATGAGCAAGCCGCGCCTCCGCACGACCCGCTGCCACAGGACCCGCCCCCAGTTCCCCCACACATCCCACCACCCTGTCCCGAACCCCTCGTCAGCCGCCGCATCAGCGCGAGAGAAACCGCCTCGCTCACCACCGCACACGAGCCTGATCCACACGTCGGCTGGCAATCCACCGCGACACAGGCCGCGACCGGCATCGTGAACGGCACGGGCGTCAGGAACGGGTAGTCGTGCCCGTCGCCCCGCCGGAACGCCTCCATATCCATCCGGCCCCGGCGCACCCTCTCCGCATCGCGCGCCCGCCTTTCGCGCATCTTCGCCTCGCGCACCTCGCGCCGGCTCTGCGCGTGGTCCGGCAGCACGCCCCGCCGCGAGACGTGCACTGCGTTGTGCTCACTCGGGTGCGTCGCCATCAGGGCATCGTGCCGATGTGGTGGGTTGATGTCCTGCGCCTGGTGTGCGGTGTTCCGCTTGAGAATACGCGAGAGGTGGTTAAGGCGCTGTCCGATCGTCTCTCCGGGAAGCGGACAGCCACAGTGCATGTATGGCACATGGAATCGTTGCTGAGGAAGTGGCGTGTTAGTGTATGCGTGGAATGGCGTTCCATGGATTTACCTCCCAGGCACGGCAGGTAATGTCTAATGACATCGCGAGGTAATTCTCCTCGACTTTATCGTCGCTGCCGCAGACAAATTTAACGCCGTGGCATGCGTGATGCCGAGTACAGCAGGGACTCACTGGTCAATGAATCGCCCCACAGTGTGGAAGCAGTCGGCTGAGTACTTGCTCGACATGAGTTGATGTGAGTGCCAGGCGAGATCAATATCTAATGTCGGCACGAAAAGTGACGCCGGCGTGGACGTCATTAAATCAAGAAAGCTGCACATTAGATACTCACTGTGTGGAAGACAATGTTAAACACAACTCACGCATGATACCTTGTGATCGCATGAACCAGGACTGCTTCGTCCTGCGGGCCATCGAAAAAATCTGCTTGCGTCCAGCCAAAGGAGTACATCTTGTCGATGAAAGAGCCCTGCCGGATGACCTGCCATCCATAGTTGTAACCCATGTCGAGGGAGAATAGGCGTGCACGCTCACAGCACCGACCAAGTCAATAGAGAACGGGCGGTCGTCAGTGTACGCACTCAATATCCGGTTGACACTGATAACAGAATCGCATCAGATACTCTTGGGAAGTAATCCATGCCTCAGTGAAGCTTACATGCGCCGACCACCCCCATCTAGCAATAAAAGTGATACCGCAGCCGGCAAAGCAGCAATGGAGTAATTAAACTTTTCTAATATTTCTTGTCTCCATTGCGCACGGGTGATCTGTAGAGTATAGTGTTGACACTGCGATTGTTTGTTCACGACATGGCTAGATCCCACCTGCGTCCGTGATGAGAGAGCGTTCGCACGAACGAACGCATTCTTGATTCGGTTCGCCCGAAGCTCGTCTGTCGTCTTCATTTCCGTATGTAGAGTGCCACTAAGTAACGATCGAGATGAATACATGAATATCCTCTTGCATGTGTAGAGTGAACGCACGCAAAGTAAACACCGAAGCCCACATGCGGGGTCTTATGATCCGAAACGAGGTCGTCCGCGAACTTGGCGAGACCAAGGCCCTCCTTCGTGATCAAAAGCCTGCACGAAGAACACGCCACAGCAAATTTGCGCTGTGCGTAACCAGTCCCCTCAGGTGTCAGGTACGCTTGTTATACACAGACTGTCAGGTCTGTCCATGGCTAAGGAATCGAGATGCCACGGCTTACGCGTCTCTACCTCTTTATGACATTTCGGACACTTCATACGACGATGGATCATTTCGCGTGATGCCTCAAAGGGATCCCAAGGCATGCCCGTTCGGGCAGCCCAAGAGGTTTCTCTGGGTCCTGATGGATGGTATGTGGTAGGATCTCCAATTTCAATCTTGACAAGTATCCACGGCTGTCATCATCTCGCCCATGCACTCGCCGAATCAAAGGCTTACCACTGCGGGAAGGAGTCTATCGCCTAGACCCTTCAAACTTGCCAGCAATGGCAGCCGCTCGCAATCTTCCGCATACCACCTGAAATATGCCGCTCAACTACAATGCCGGCATGTGGCGGCCAGTAGAGAAACACACCGAGGATTGAGCATGTAGGCGTGCCATACCATTAACACGTCCAGCGGAGGAAAATCTGTCTTCACCCACGATTTGAGCGCCTTTGAACTTACAAACGCGGCCCAGCGCTCAAACCTGCGCACCGCACAGCCAACGCGTCAAGCACTCCAGATTACTGTGCATGATGACGCGTTATGCCAAACATACCTATCAACCGCGAGTCCGACAAACCACGCCCACCGTTGCGCGGCGTCCAGTCCTGCCACTGTGTCCGGGAGCTGGGCACCCAGATTTTCTTCCACCGTAGATCGCAAAGCTTTGAACGCACCGAGGAGGCGTAGGTGTGCCTTAAGATACGGCATTGTCACGAGCGGCCGCGCTAATGTTCTCGTGCCTACATGATACTCAGAGGGCTCCCCCGTATCAGAAGAGGTTCGCACAGGGCGAGGATGGGTCGGTTTAGCTCTAGCTGATGTGGACGAGCGAAGTACGGCCGATGTCGGTGAATGAGGCGAAGTTGGTGAACGAGGGGCAGCCGTATCCGGTGAACGGGGTGCAGTCGGCGAGTGACGTACAGTCGAATTCAGCGAACGAGGCACAGTTGAACCCTGTGTCTGCAATATCCCCGGTGCGAGATGAGGCTCGTTCGTGGTAATGGCGTACGGCGGCGGGGGGTCGTCGAACATGGTGGACCGTTATGAGAAAGGCGGGGGAAAAGAAGGCGGATCAGACGGTGGGCGGTTTCCCTCTTATAGTCCGAGGACGCCATTATAAGGTTCAGAACCGTCAAGGCGTAGCTGTCCATTATGCTGGCCATTCCAGATGAGTGTGGCAGTTCCCTGCCCGCTCACGGTTTAGCGCTCAAGATAACAACCACTGATGATCTAGATGCGGCGCCCCAGTTCGGTTCGGCTCTCTGTGGCTACAGGAACCGTTCGCACGAGATCTGGTCACAGATCATAGCTCCCCGTCTTTGGACAATAAAGACCGAGTCGCGCAGCGCCCTAGTGAAGAGCGTCGCGCTTTCTTTTGTATCGAGAGTTTTCTGGCAAATAGTGAATTGGTTCTCACATCAGATTAACATTAAATAGTACTGTCAACAGACTAACACATCTAACGACTCTGGCAAATAAACTCTCAGCCAACATACAGATGTACCGCAAGTCATAACGGGGAGAACATCCAAGCAGATGGCAGCGCTGGTACACCATCAGATATCATCACTCCAAGACCCGACTCCCCCGCAGGCGGACGCAGATCCTCCACCACAAGCTGCTGCAGACGACGACGCTGCTCCACATGCAGCCACGGACGTGGACCCGCCCAAACAAATAGCAGCAGACGAGGGCCCTCCACCATCGCCTTCTGTAACGCCACTCCCACTGGCCGAAATGCTGCTATCGGAAGAGGAAGAGGGGGCAGGACTGCCGCTTCCGTCGCCGCCACTCGACATCATGCTGACCATCGGCATTCCTGCAAACGCAGCACCTCGTGTCGCCGCCGCGCACGGCGCGGCCCCGCTGAACGACGCGCACGCCACGCCCGAGCACGACCCGCTGCCACAGGTCGCGTCGCCGGTGCTTCCGCACATACCAGCTCCCTATGACACCGCCGTCAATACCTGTGTCGGCGTTGCATCGCGGTGAACACCACACTTACCACTGCACATGAGCCCGAACCGCACGTCAGCTGACTGCCTACAGCAATACACGCCGTGACAGGCATCGTGAACGGCACGGGCGTCAAGAACGGATAGTCGTGCCCCTCCCCGCGGCGGAAAACCGCCATGTCCATCTTGCCCCGGCGTACCTTCTCCGCATCGCGCGCACGCCGCTCACGCATCTTTGCCTCGCGCACCTCGCGCCGGCTGCGCGCATGGTCCGGTAGCACGCCCCGCCGCCCGCCCTGGATTGCGGGATGCTCGCTCGGATGCGTCGCCCTGAACGCGTCGTTCCGATGTGGCGGGTTGATGTCCTCGTGCGTAGTATTGCCTTTGAGGATGCGCGAGAGATGGCCGAGGCGCTGGCCAACTGTGTCCCCGGGCAGAGGGCAGCCGCAATGCATGTACGGGACGCGAAAGCGTTGCTGGAGAGTGCGGTTGTCAATATCGATCTTTGGATAATTTCATTGTCAATGACCTCCCAAGCACGACAAGTGATATCCAACGACATTGCCAGGAAGTTCTCTTCAACCTTGTCGTCACTGCCATACAGTCCAATGACATCAATTCGTTCCTGGTTAACACAGCACCGGGACTCACTGGTCGACGAAACGGCCAACAGTACGGAAACAGTCGGCCGAGTACTTCCTTGCCATAAGTTGATGGGAATGCCATGCAAGGTCAATATCTAGAGTAGGCACAAAAAGCGACGCCGGGGTGGACGCCATCAAATCGAGGAAACTGGACATGAGCACCCCACTGCAGTGCAGATACCCATTGGGGCACAACTCACGCATGGTACCTCGCGATAGCATGGACCAAGACCACTTCATCCTGGGGCTCATCGGCGAAACCCGGTTGTGTCCAACCGAAGGCGTGCATCTTGTCGATGAAGGATCCTTGTCGGATGACCTGCCATTCACAGCTATAGCTTGGCTTTGTCAGGACGAGTATGTACACTCACCGCACCGACCAGATCTAATGAGAACGGTCTGTCGTCGGTGTACGCGCTTAGTATCCGGTTGCTCCTTGACATGATAACGCTTGAGCAATCCTCATGACACAGTGGGATTTCCGGAAACGCACTTACGTTCGTGTGCCACCCATGCTTTGCAACGGAAGCGACGCTGCAGCCGGTAGAGATACAGTGGAGTATCTGAACTTGCGCATGAGCTCCTGCCTCCACTCTGTACGAGTAATCTACAATAGAACATAAATACGATGCCTATTCTCAGGCATCGCTGCCCACCTGCGTGCGTGATCGCAGCGCCTTCGAGCGGATCAAGGCATTCTTGATGCGTGTTGCATGATCCTCGTCCGTCGTCTTCGCCTCCGTGTGCAAGGTACCGCTGAACAAATCAAATGACCGAGCCGCTATTCCGCAATGCGCAGGGGACATACGCTAGATACACGCCAAACCCCACATGCGGTGTCTCGTGGTCCGAAACGAGGTCGTCCGCGAACTTCGCGAGCCCCAGGGCCGCCTTTCTGACTGTCAGCCTGCACGACGGGCATGTTACGGCAAATGTGCGCTGTGCATAGCCAGTCCCGTCCCGGGTCATGTACGCTGGCCGTGTGAATGTGCCATCAAGTTCATGCGTAAATAGAGGTATGAGTCCAGCGCCTACGCGTTTCTATGTCTTGCGCGCATTTCGGGCACGTCACTCGACGGTGGGTCATGTATCGGGACGCCTCAAGAGGGTCCCAATGCGTGCCGGTGTCCGCGAGCCAAGACATTCGCCTCTCCCTTGTTGGCTGGTATGCGGCTGGATCTCCGGCCACGATCTATACGAAAAAATGGCCGCTTCAAAAAGACTGAGGACCGGACGCAAACCGGACTGACCACAGCAGGAAGGAGTCTATCACCCAGGCCCTTCAACGTCTTCATCAGCGGCAGGCGCTCGCAATCCTCCGCATACCACCTGTAACGCATCCGCTCGACCACAACGCACACGCGCGGCACACAAGCGGGCGACGCACCGAGGATTGAGCATGTACGCGTGCCAGACCATCAACACGTCCAGCGGCGGGAGCTGCGTCCGCACCCACGACCTCAGCGACCCCGGCCTGACACTGTCCGCCCAGCACTCGAACCTGCGCACCGCAGAGCAGCAATGCCACCCGTCAGTCGCGCTTCGGGTCCGCGCGCCACGACGCACTCACCGGTCGACCGCCAGGCCGACGAACCACGCCCACCGCCGCGCAGCGTCCAGGCCCGCCACCATCTCCGGGAGCCGGGCACCCGCGTTGTCCTCGACCGCAGTGCGCAGAGCCTTGAACGCGGCAAGCAGGCGCAGGTGCGCCTTGGCATACGGCACCGTCACGAGCGGGGTCGCCAGTGTTTTCGCGCCGATCTGGTACTGCGAAGGCCCGGCGACGGCTACGTCCACGTCCACGTCCGCGGAGGACCGCGCGCCAAGAGCGTGGAACGAGGCTGAGGCTGGTGACCGCGCCGGTGCCAGGGTGGGTGAGCGCGATGGGTCTGACGTTGATGGCCGGAGCGGGACTGTGCTCGATGCGCGAGGTAGATCTGACGTCGATGGCTGGAGCAAGGTTTTGCTGGGTCTGCGAGCTATATTTGACATTGATGGCCGGAGCACGATTCTGCTGGGTCGACGAGGAATGTCCGAGTTCGGCACGCGAGGCGTTTCTTGGATCGGCGAAGCTGAAGGAAGCGAACGAGAAATGCCTGAAGGCGGCGAACGAGACACCACTGAAGGCGGCGAACGAGACACCGCTGAAGGTGGCGAACGAAACACCGCTGAAGGCGGCGAACGGGATGCCGCTGACGCAGGAGAACGAGAAATAGCGAACGTCGGGGATCGAGACACAGCTGACGTCGGGGAGCGAAGCAAAATGCCACTCCGGGAGCGACGCACACCCGCAGCCACAGGTGGAGACGCGCCAGGCTCCCTCGCGCTCGCATCATACGGCGGCGGCGGGTCGTTGAACATCTCCGCGAGATCGATCGTAGCTTGGGCAGAGACAGAGACAGCGACAGCGACAGGAGCGGAGCGACGGAGCGCGTTAAGTGGCACGCCGCGCCCTCTTGTAGTCCGCGCTCAGCGGTGCTGGGTCATACATAAGGTTTGCTGCCGTCAGAACGTACCTGAAAGAAGGGAATATCTGTCAGTCGCTCGCAGGGAACAGCGGTGCTCCCGCGATACAGATAGCAGTGGCTTGATGCAGCTGCAAATACAAGGGGAGAGGAGCAGTGGCTGGGCAAACATCACGTCGGGGACACATTTGTCAGCGCTGTGTGGGTATTATCAGTGTTCAACGTTCAACGTTCAGAGGTGACGGCAAGTGAGCAGCAAAAGGAAGAGGACGCGCCCCGGAATCACGTCATGCTCATCCAAATTTCCAACAGATAGCCAGCTGCGTTCATAGCGCATCATCTCACTCTTATCGGACAGCGATGAGATGTCAAGCGGCACCAAGATGCATTTCGCAGAAACATGCACAAGCACCAATAATGATAATTTATAAACTCGTCCCGCAGGGACCCACAAGCATGTGCGTATCGTGCGCGCCAGGGCCCTTCTAAGACCGGCGGGGGCAGATGGCAGGGCCCGCCCGGGGCCACTGACTAGGGATGTGACGAGGCCTAGCGAGGAAGAAGCGAGAAACGTGTATGTGATATTGACATGAGAGCATCACCGACGTGGGAAGGCGGAGGGCACCGAGAGGCCCGGCAGGCGAGTCGGCGTCGGCGACGGGGTAATAAAAAGATACGCGAGAGCGTGATGTACGGTGCGTGCGGTATATAGCTCGGAAATTGCTAGAGGTAGGGGACGTGGCGGCGGACGTGAGACGCGAACAGCGGGCCGGCGAGCGTCTATTGGAATACGGAGATGGAGTTGATCACCCATTTCGCGTCTGCAAGATTGGTCTGTTAGAATACTACAAATATGAACCATGGTGAAGTCACATACCAAGGAAGTTGGTCCCGTTCGCAACCATCGAGTCACAAGTACCCGGGCAACCAGACGATGCGTACGCAGGACCGGCCCAGTCACCACAGATGGTGGTGTCGAGCACAATCGCGTGGTCGTAAAAGTGGCTCGAGATATCGCACCCGGTGCTAGGGAAGATTGCCGCAGCCTCACCCCAAGTCGACGGGTCAGGGTTGCCAGACTTGATGTCCTGCGGGATCTCATCGCGGGCGAAGAACCAGAAGGTGACACCGTCCGAGTTCCAGAGGTGAGCAAAGACTCCTCCGCCAGCCTGGTTGAAGCCAGCGCCGAACGAGCGGGTGTCGTTCTGGGCGTATGCACAACCTGCATCGTCACCTGGACCGGACGCACACTGGGTGCCGAGGACGTGTCCCGATGTCGGCGTCGTGTTGTTGAGCGTGCAGTCAGGACCAGAGTGGAGGGTGATCTGGTTCTCTGTGTTCAGATTGACACCCTCTGATAGTTTCGTCCACAAGATCAGCGTGCGATATACGTGAAACGGAACGAAAAGGCTAACCAATGACATCGATCTCACCACCATCAGGCCATGTAGCGTTGATGCTGACAGTCCAGTAAGCGGGCCAGATACCACATCCAAAGGGCATAGCCTGGAAGTCGGCAATGAAGAGACCACTGTTGTAGGTCTGCGGCGAGCTGATGCGGACGCTGAAGGTAGATTGACGCCTATCAGACGCAAGGTCAAGACGCGTGAAGATAACACGTACGAGTTGCGCTGACCGCCGGAAGCAACGGTCTGGTTGGCATCGACAGCAAGTGTGGTGACGTTGTTGCAGTCGACAGTGGCCAGACCAGCGCTTGTCGCTGCGTCTGCGTCCAGGTAATGAACAAGACCGTCGGTCGGATCGGACTGATCAAAGAAGTCCCACTGACTGAAGAGAGGTCGTTCTCATTGTCCGGGTACTCAGAGACAGCGATGCTTACAGGAAGTCCTCGCCAACGAACTTGTTTTGAAGGGTGTAGTTGGCCGAGCGGCGCATGTACGCCGGACTGTGTGCGAGGCCGGCATGTCTACGGCGGTGAGCGCGCTCCTGGTGGGCGCCAAGAGCGGTGAGCGGGAGGGCGAGGAGGGAGATCGCGATAGCGGAACGCATAGTGATCGACGCGAGCAGGAGGTCTAGCAGGGGGAAGGGAAGGAATGAGAGTCGTTATAACGAGAGACGACGGTGGTGGTGAGTGGAAGGAAGAGAACCGAGCGGGGAAGGGACGCAGCAACCGCAGCTTTTACCAGCGCGGTGCTTGGTCTCGGCCACATCACCGCCCCCGGCCGCTGGACCCAATCAACGCTGCAGATGGATGCTCGCTTTGATCCTCCCACGATGGGCACTCCACTGGCTCAAGCTTTGTCCTCATCCCCTGAAATGCTATTGTCCTCCTTCAGAGCACAACTCCTGTCTCTGTCCCTGAGACCGTGCTGAACAGAGAGCGCGTACCCCAAGCGTGGCGTGTTCCAGGTGCTCTCAGCGCGCCGATCACCATCATCGCTGCAGGCACCGCACGGCACCGGCTGCCTCACGATTGCAACTACTGTATAAGCTCTTCGAGGCCACACCGTATCATCATCTCCCAGATTACACGAAACCCATTGCCAGCTTGATAGATACGCTCGCTGGCTTACTGGGGTCTCGTTACGCCCGTGATCTTGGAGGCGCCGTGCATGAACAAGAATAGCACTTACGAGTATTTATATAGCGGCACTCGTGTTGAGGTGATGCGGAACTGTGTCTTAGCGGCCAACAAGGAAGGTGTGACCGAGCAGGGTACCTCTCGGGATGAAGCAGGGAGCAACCAAATCCCCCGCCGACATCCGCCCTATTTATATTGCAGAGGTAACGCGTGTACCATATGTGAAAATATAGAAGCTGACGCTGGCACGATGGAAGTGAGATGTTGTATCGCCCGTGAAGCTCTGAAGTGGCGTCCTTGTATGCCAGAAAAGGAAACGTCGATGCCGCAAATGGAATGTATAACATTGGAGCTTCCAACCCGGCTTCGCATTCAATGCCTTGGCCACATGGAAAGAGATCCAGTGCCCCCTCTACACCCACTGTCTGCCAACGATGTCTAGCATAGTGCAAGTCAGCGTCAGATCCTGGACGGATGGCAACACTACTTAACGGAGTGCCTCCCTTCGGCCCCCCGGCACCTCCATGCGTGGCCGAACATGCCGCTGGTGCCGCATCTGGGATTTCATGCGAACGTGCTCAAGGTTCGTGCGTTGTCCACATGTGTATCAACCTCTTTATGTCCGACCCAATCCTCATTCGAGAACAAGCCAGTGCCCTCGTTGCAATCTTCGCAACTTGCACATGCGTGTTGGCGCGGCGCGCAGCAAGCCCAAGGCCAATCATCTCCGTGTCGATGATGATCGGGCTTTTCCTCCCGCAGTCTGTAATGAGCGCCAAACATACATATGGTTTTCCGTCCGTGCGCTTTCGCGATTCTGTGCACGCTTGAAGCCGAAGATGTGTATATATACACATGTTGTACCCACGGCGCCGCGCACTCCTGGATACACCGTGTCACGATCAGATCTATACGATCAAGGTAGGTGGACATGGCAGTTGCCAGTGTCAAAAGCCAGATGGAAGGGCTTGTTTCCATTCTTGCTCGGACCAAGCAAAAAAAAAAGGTGCAGGCTCATGTCATGCTGACAACATCTTCGTCCTCTTCGTCAACGTTTCAGCAGTGCGTAACCGAACAGTCAGTTCAAAATCGTAGATGCTGTGAGCCCTAAAAGGGGAGCGGGCGTGAGAATTCATCGACACTCGCCAAGCGCGGACTGCACGGCTTTTAGGTGCAACTATGCCATGCTTGTACAAGTGTTCGCTAGCGGTAAGCGATAATGTACACTGCTCGACGTATCTCGAGTGGGGAACCTGGATTCTTCATGGAAGACACTTTTTGTCCGCTCACTTTCGGTAGTGCACTCATGTCGGAGCGCGTGTATTCGATCGCCTTCATTAGATTACCGCCGCCGGCGTTCATCCCACCGGCACACACATCCTCGATGTGAACCATCTACAAAGTGGATGGTTCGTTACCTTGCGGAATTGATACATTGATTGGCATTGATGACCAGAAGTGCCAAAGTATATACACATACATCTGAGTAATACATCACACCATCTGCCTAGACACGGAACACATTTAGCCGGGAATCCCACCCACAGCTCGCGAGCAGGCCATCATCGTACAGCGACCAGCCACAGCCAACGACGAACTCTGTGTGAGGGTCATGTATATAGAGAAGATGCGTGCCTGCCGCCGTCGGTGTCGTCGTCCACCTACAACAACAACCCCTTCATTCAGCATCGCTCGAGCGGTACACAGCAGCCAAAGCACCAGCACTCACACTCTGCACGTCATGTCGTAACTCGCCGTCGCGAGCACGTCCGGCCGGTGCGGGCTCCACTGCACGCGCCGCACGGCATACTCGTGCCCGGCCATATGCGTCTCGCACAGCCCGCCGACCGCCTGCTGCTCCGCGCCCGTGCCCGCGCCCGCGCCCATCTTCACCATCCGGCAGTCCCACACCTTGACCGCCTTGTCGACGCCCGCGCTCGCGAGCACCCACGGGCGGTACTTGTTCCAGTCGAGCGCGAGCACCTCCGTGCCCGAGGCGGGCACCGTGAGCGCCGCGGCGCTCAGCGGCGCGGTGAAGCTGCCCGGCGCGCCGCCGGGCGCGGGCGCGGCGTATGCGGGCGCGCGGAGGTCGAAGATCTTGAGCGTGCCGTCCGTGGAGCACGTCGCGATGGTGTCGGGCTGGTGCGGCGAGAAGAGCGCCTGGTAGACGCACGCGCGGTGCGCGTGCAGCGTGCTGAGCGAGTGCGGGCGCTCGGGGGACCACTGCGGGCGCGTCAGCATGCGCATGCACGGTCTGGCAGTGAGATCGCGGGGCACGACGCACGATCTTCACGGTGCCGTCCCAGGAGGCGGACACGAAGAGGTCCTTCTGGAGGTTGGACCAGTCGAGGGAGAAGACCTCGCGCGTGTGCTCCTGCCACGCGCGGAGGGGCAGATCCTAGAGGTGCTTGCAGGGCGTTCAACGAGCGCGCGCGGAGGGAGCTGCTGCGGGGCCTACGTTGAGCATGATGTCCCACAGCCTGATCGAGCCGTCGCCCGAGGCGGTGACGAGCTGGTTCTCGTGGACCTCGGACCACGCGACGTCGTAGAGCCCGTCCTGTGTGTCGTAGCTACTGCCGTCAAGGCGCGCATCTAGGCGAGATGCTGGAAGACGCACCATTTGTCTATGGACAGTCCGGGCACCCCGCCTGGCCCGGGGCCGAGGGAAACCAGGTGGAGCCTGCCGTTGCCCACCAGGCCATAGTTGGCGGCCGACGCGAGGGCGAGGCGGGTGCTGTGGAAGGGGGACCAGGCGAGCGAGTAGTGTGCAAAGCCGGGTGTCTGCAAGAGCGCGGGCGGCGGTGGCGGGGGCCTGTTCATCGTCGCGGTCGACGTCGAGGAGATCGCGGGGCCTGAGCGGATGGATCAGGCCCGATCGCATCTCGGTAAGAACAAACGCTTACCGGCTGCTTACTCTTATAAGCCCCATACAGACTCCGTGACACTCTGCCAGGACTGTCCATGCGTGTCTCAGTACCTACCATCCCAGATGTCCTCCTTAGGTCTGCATCGCCGGCGCCCTCGACGTCCCCGGCGGCCGCAGTCGAGCGCATCGCGAGCTTCCTCGCCCCTGGGAACGTCGCGGTGATCACGGGCGCGGGGGCCAGCGTCGACTCTGCCATCCGAGCGTACCGTGGCGCGAAGGGGCGGTATCTCAATCCTAATTACAAGTACGTGTAGTATACTATCAGCGAAATATGTAGTCTCGCTAAGGGAATTTCTGCGTAGACCCATCTTTGTGAGCAGTTGCAGACGTAGTCTACATCCCGTCTAACGGAGAACCTTAGTACCATGAACTCATGGAGCCGACGGCCAAGGGTGCCGCATACAGGTACTCACCTTATGAATATTCCTGCAAAAGCCTTTCTGATGTGTACATAGACGGCGCTATTGGTGAGGTCCCCGCCGTCTGCGACTGCTAGTACAGCCGAGTGCTCATGCGACCACAGGCTCCGCTCGTACCTCGGATACCCGCCAGTCCGTGACGCGCTTCCGAACACCACGCACTATGGGCTCGCAGCCTTGCAATACCGCTCTATCGTCAACAAGCTCATCACACAGAACGTCGACGGGCTACACCACAAGGCGCTCGCACACGTCTGGGACGAGCCTCGCATGGAAGAGCGCATACTGGAACTGCACGGACGACTGCGCGTATGTGCGCATGCTTCATCTCAGAATGCTGCCGTGCCTGATCCCTGCACAGAGCGTGCGCTGCGCCCACGGGCATCTGACCGATCGCGACGTATTCCAGGATCAACTCTCCGCGGCGAACCCACAGTGGCAAGCCTTCGTCGACGAGCTCGATGCTGCCGGTCGCCAGCCTCGCACGAACCCCGACGGTGATGTATGCCATCCCTTCGCTGGAAACCCCGGTCAATTTACTACACGACTCACCGTCTGGTGCTCGCCGTTCGCCTAGGTCGTCCTCGAAGGTGTCCAGTATGATGACTTTGTCATCCCGGACTGCCCTGCATGTCTGATGGAGAACCGGCACAACGATATCGTGAGTGCCCTTCCGTAATATCTCGCACGACTCCCTCACCGACCGATCTCGCCCGCAGCAAAAGCCAGAAGTCATATTTTTCGGCGAGTCCATCAGCAAAGAGGTCAAAGACCGCTCGTGAGTGTTTTGTCTCCTCTCTTCTCTCCTGTAACCTCCCCCCTGACTAGAAATACCGCAGCTTCGCCGACGTCGAGAGCTGTGACCGGCTATTCCTGGTGGGCACCACCCTCGCGACGTTCTCGGCCTTCAGGTACCGCAGCACGGTCCTTCTGCCGCCCGCGCTATACTGACGAGCAGAATCCCAGGCTGCTCAAACATGCGATAGAGCTGCGCAAACCTGTGTTGCTGCTTAACGTCGGCCCAACGCGCGCCGACCAGGTCCCTCAGGTTGAGAAGATCGAGATACCCAGCGGAGCGGTACTCAGGGACGTCGTGCGGGCTGTACTGTATGTGTCTTCTCCCACGTATTCGAGCCCCGGAAACTTTGCTCACCGCTATGTTTGACTAGGGGAAGCGAGGCTTCGGCCGACCCGGTAGTGGCAGACATGCTCCAAAGCGGTATCACAAAACCCCCTCCCGAAGACGAAGACGACACGGTGCCTAGAGCGGTTGGGTGACACGTCGGCCATAGATGATAAACGCATTGGGTGTATAATTATCTACGGTAGATATCCTATGATACAGTATGGCACACATTAATCCTTGCAACACGACTTGTATGGGGACCTGTTTGTAGTATCGACCTGTGAGATGGTAGCAAGATGCAGAACACTATGCAACAAAGGCCAGTGGTAGGAGTGATGAGGAGTGCGCGGGCATCAGTATGGACATGACACTGTACAGCATTACATACAGCGTGTGAGTAGAGTCACGAGTAGGATGTGGCAGTCGGGGAAGGAACCATTGCAGTGGCAAAGCAACGACAGCATGCACAGATTGAGGAAGTGGAAATAAAAACAGATATATCGTACTTGAGCAGGGCGGAAGCCTGTGGGCGCGTGCCCTAGCGTGTGTCAGTCACTGCGAGCCCTGACGCTCCCCTCAGACGGGAGCCGTCGGGTGATAGGGTTCGTCCCTGCAGGCGCTGAGCGCGAACTTCGAGGGCATGTCGTCATCCTCGTCCATGTCCAGGCCGTACGCACCGGACGCATCGACGGAGCCCGGGCGGGTCTCATGCGGGAGCCACACGGGCGCACGGAGGCGCGACCACCGCCAGTCCTGCCAGCTGGTGAACAAACGCGGCGACACTTGGCTCGTGGGCCGGCGCTGGGACCGCGCGAGGTACTCTTCAAACGCGGGGTCGAGTGCGCGCTGCGTAGGGACGCGAGAGGAGGGTGGCGGTGGCGGTGGCGGTGTGGAGGGGGGCGTCGGAGGCGGAGGTGTGAGCTCCTCCAGTAGGAGAGGAGATTCCGAGCGCGGCGCAGACTTGGGTTCTATAGCGGATACAGTGCTGCTAGGTCCACTACCGTCGGTCTCAGGAGTCAAAGAAGGTGTTGTAGATGGGACCCGACGGCGAGACGTCCTGGAGACTGTAGTGTCTTGGGAGTACGAGGGGAGCTGCTGTACCGCGGGAGGATTAGTGGTGTGCCACTGAAGAAGGGCATAGGGTATACCTTCTTGTCGTTGGTCCCTTTCAATTCCGCAACCATACTGTCAGATCGCCGGAGACACCGCTCCCGGTGGGTCCGCCAATGTGCTAAATCGAACTGGCTTTTGGCCGACAGCTTGATGTAGGTGTCGCAGCGGCGACACTGCACCAGTCTTGGATTATGTATCCTGACCATCCTATCGGCTTGAAGCCTCTTCTCTCTAGCCTTCTCAGCCGGGCTGAGTCGGCGTGGAAGGTCATGCCTGCAAGAAGTGAGTCGTGGCGCGCAGGCAACAGGACGACGGCGTACCCTTGGTCCTCAGATTCTGAGGATGTTTCCGGAGGGGGAGTCAATTCTTCGACGTCCTCCATAGGCTCGGCATAAGCCGAGTTTAGGCTAGCGTCGCGCTGCGAGTTTCCGGACTCGCGTGCGGCCCCCTCACGCAACTGCGCTCTGCAACGGATGAGACTTGCTCAACGCCGGCTGTATTTCATCGGAGTACTTGTGCTTACTCAGAGATACTGGGGGAACCGGAGGGGGAACGCGGGTTTTTGCGCGTCCTGCAATGAGGGAAGTGCGTGAGTCCATTGTGGCCCGCGGCGGGGAGACAGACGGTGTGCATACCTGCCTCGGGTGCTGCTTTCCCGGGGTTCCCGGTGCTGGGGGACTATGAGGGTATGCTCAGGTAAAGATCCCTCGAGAACAGACCTGAGGGGACGCCTCCTTCCGCCGCGCAGAGGACCTGACCGCACTTGCCGAAGAGCTATGGCAGTGCCGTAAGCGAGGGAATACAGACATGGCTTCAGAAATAACACACCGTGTTCTGAGGGACATTTGGTGTGCTGAACTTGAGATTAAATGGAGGGGGAACGGAAGGGAATAAATGGGGGAAGGGAAAAGGCAGAGGTAGACGCACGAGTAGGAGCAAGAGATGGAGGCCGCCACGGCACGCGTTTTGCCGCTTGGGCGACGGCGCGTGCTCATCAGGTGTGGCGACTGGGCGTGCCAATCCCCGCGTCAGATCAGATCTTTTCCCACAATTCCCCGGCCACGCTTCGCGGAAGCAAAAGTATAAAGGCTATCGTAAATTCCGGAGCCAATTATGCCTCCATATACCAAGCAAAGAGCAGCGCGGACACAGCAACAAGAGACGAGTAGGTGTTACAGTCGAGCACAGGTACAGAAGTAAACAGGGAGTGTGCCAAGCAACAGGAGCAACTGAAAGAAGCGTCGTAAAAGATAGAGTTCATATATATAAGGGATAGGGAGGGACGAGCGCCGTGAAGTGCGACAGGAACTAGCCGGATGATAGGCCCTCCCGGAAACCACGTACAAATGAGCGGAACGGTAGCACCAGCCAATCAATGAACCCAGGCGAGTCACCCTCGGGGGCCACGTAAAATTCAGTACGCCGGCGGATAGAGGGACTCTGCTCCTCTATTACCTCGCCCTCGTCCTCCCGTGCCCGCTTCTGGCCTCTGCCTGATGGAGAGGACTCCGAGCCGATCGCTGTGGCATCAGTGGATGCTATCGACGGGGGTGGTCTCTCTGCTTCTGCTTCTGCTTCTGCTTCTGCTTCTACAGGTGCCGTCGGCGCGGGAGTGCTTACGGCAGGGCTTGGTGCGGGAGGCAGGCGCGGGGTTGATCTACGTGGGGATGGCCATTCAGTTAGAGGGCCAATCACTGCACAATCCGATCAACTCACGGTGTGCACGTCGTTTTGTGCTCTTCCCATAGTGTCAGGTCGTAATCTACCTCGCCTTTCAGAGATACCTCTGCCCGGCATTTGGCGCACTCAACGCTGTGTTCCTTGAGCTTCTTCGCTTGTGGATCGTTCACGATCTGTAACTTGCGTTGCGCCGTTGCGATTCGATTGCTGGGCCTTTCGATCTTGGACTTCGGTGTAACAGGCTTCGCCTTCTCGTCCTCTTCCTCTGGTTCTTTGTCCGCCACATCCAAATCAATTCTCGCGTCCGACTGCACCGAAACGTCGGGTCTGCTGAAGGTGAATCAATGAGAGCAATTATGGCAAGGTGAGAACTACCTCTCAGACTGTCCCCGCTGCTTGATGCAGGCCTTCCGATGGATCAGCCAGGGCTGCATCACATATTTCCGTTTGGGATTGAGGTCGACCCATGTTTGGCAGCCATTGCAGAACATGCGATACGGCTCTACTTCCCCCGACAAGGAGTCATCCTGCAAGAACTTGATGCGCTCCGCTTCCGTCTTACGCTTCCTGGACGACTCCGCGACAGAAGCACCGTCATCTCCGAGACTGTCTGGGGTTTGCGTTCGGCTACAGACGCACGGGAGTAAGAATGGAAGCGGATCAGGGTGTAGATTTAGGGCTCGTACTCGGTGGCGGAAGTCGGCTTCTTGGAGCTCACACTTGATAGAGGTCTTCCAGTAGACACCGGTGTTTGTGGGGTATCATTTGTATTATCCATAACATGCGAGGCAACGGAGGAGGCTCGTGAATGAGATGCTCTCTTGCCTCGGCTCACAGGCTTCTTTCCGCTTGTAGGGGTATCGGGTTTAGAACGCGTGGGGGACGGTCCAGGCAAGCTGTATTTGCGCCGTAAGTAAATAAGCGCATCGCGGACGTAAAGCGGGAGTCAGTAGGAGTATTATTGTGCGAGCTGTAGGCACTCACGGTACATCCACTTTCTTCGGTTTGCGCTTCTGTACGCCATCCTGGAAAAGGCGTTAGCTTGGGAATGTCTCAACTGCATCTCTGGAGCGGCGCGGCGGTGATACGATCTCGGGTATGGGATGCGTCGGAACCTGGCTGCACGTAAGTGCATATGCAGTCCTCATGCGCTCTGCCGGCCGCTAGAAGGCGCGGAGGATTTATCTGTCCTCAGAACGATACTATGAGAAGTAACAGGGCCAAGGAAACAATAGATGGATTCTGGCATGCTTCCTATGAACCTCGCCTCTGAAGGGAAGTGTGGCCGATCTAGAGGAAGATCACTGAAGGACACAGGCCTTCTCGCAATGAGGGGAACGCGTAGAGCATACATTGCCAGAGGGAGTCGTCTCCCCTCCCCCAGGGCTGTCAGAGAGACCCAGCCAAAAGTAGTCGCAGCACAATCGCGCTTTCGATTTGGGCATAGCGGCTTTGGCAACAGCCTCACCAGCGCTGTTAGTAGTACTCGCCATGGCGCTACACCGGTCAGCGTGACCGCGAACGATTCACGGATCTCTAGGTCAACAGCGTACGCCCGTCCATTGTGTTCAACCGCCAACGGGTACTGATGCGCTCTAATCGTTTTGAGGATAAAGAAACTCACTTCTTTATTCTCAGACTCCTTAGACGGATCATATACGTCCTCCTCTTCTTCCTCTTCCTCCTCCTGTGGCGCGTCTTTAGTCGGCTCATCCTGCAAGTCCCTTCTCAGTGCATCAGTCAATCTCGATGGCACAGACAGGAAGCTGGGCGCACTCGTCGTCGTCGTCGTCGCTCGCAATTTTGTCCCTCGGCTTCTGCATACAACAGCGTCATGAGGAACTAATCAAGAGACTCAGTCGGTCGCGGTCAATGTACCTTGCGCCGCCGACTCGAGTACCTCACTTTTACCAGCCTTTGGACGAGCGTTAGCATCGATGCTACCGCTAAAGCTGCTTCCACACAAACCGTTCTGGGGAAGACAGTGTATCATCCATGGTAGTATGTTCGCAAGCGTAAGGGAGAGTGGAATAATGTCGAGAACTGAGCGCGTCTTGTCGTCAAGCGCCCGCAATGGGTCGAACGCAAACACGTGCAAATACTCCAGCCATTGACGACAAGCGCGCAATATGACTTGCCCCATAATTTCCAAGTCAGTACAACAGGTCCCTTTCGCTTGCGTCCGCGGTATGTACAACTTCAAGAGCGTTCAGACTCTTGACCTGAGATCATGCGATATTCTGCGATGCCGTCTAGTTCAGAGCTTTCTGCCCAAGGAGACTGAATATGTCTGACCCGGAGGATCTGCTCTCAGAATCTCTGCAGACCTTGTACGACTATACGCCCGTCGCGCACTCGTCGGCTGGGTCCCTCTTCACGTATCGTTACCCCCACAATCTTCCATCACATCTGTCGGCGAAAGCAGCTGCACCGATAGAGCTGCAAACGCCTGACACTCAACCAGCCAATTGGGCGCTGCATGCATCATCAATATGGATGTCATCTCTATTCATCGCGGACCATCTCGAGGACTTGGGTCTCGATCGCCACTTACATCGTGCTCAGGGCTTGCGCGTACCACTACGTATATTGGAACTGGGCGCGGGAGCAGGGCTTCCCAGCATTGTGATCGCGCGGCTCTATGATCGGGTGCAGGTGGTGTCCAGCGACTATCCCGACGAGGAGCTTATTCGCACCTTGGCGGACAACATACAACGCAATGGAGTACCCGGGAACTGTCGCGTTGTGCCATATGCCTGGGGAAGTGACCCCTCTGCTCTTTTCACACCCCATGGCGCAGAGTCATCCGAGATGTCTGGCTTCGACGTGGTGATCGCTGCAGATACGCTGTGGAATCCCGACTTGCACGATGTCTTCACTCAGACGCTCTGTATGACACTACGAAGGTCTTCCGATGCTCGAATATACTTGGTCGCCGGATTGCATACGGGGAGGTACACAATTCAGACATTTTTGCGCACTCTCATAGGTGCCGGACTCGAAGTCGAGGAAGCGACAGAACGGGATGTGGGCGGCAGCGGTCGCCGTGCGTGGAACGTTGAGAGGGCGGACGGAGAGACGGAGCAGGACAGAAGACGATGGGTTATCTGGATGGTGTTGAGGTGGTCGTCCGACCGGATAGCATGACCTACCATTGATATGTTAAGTATACCAGCAAGATGTCGAGTAGAGCATGTTGACGAACGCTCATCGGCATTGATCGAGCTCGTTGAATTAGAATCGAATATGATGCGCTCCGCTGGGTCAATGCGAAATGGACGATCTCGATCGCATCAAAGCCACACCACGAGCTCTTTCGTCGTCGCCACCTTCCCCTGTTTCTTTTTGTCCTTGCTTAGCCCGTCTCGACGTATATATAAACATTGCGAGGACGCGGAGGCCTCAGCCGTCTCTCGCATTGCTCGCAGGTATGTTGTCGACTTATTGTATGTATTTGTATACAGCCATATCACGCATCGCTCGCAGCGTTGCTCGCAGTACGGACTCGCATTCTCTTTCCCTCCCACCTTCCTTACACATGGACATTCTACACCTTTGGTTCTGTCTCCTTTTGTCTTACGAGTTTCTTTGTCTTGTAGTAATCTAGTGTTGCCTTGAGGCTGTCCCCGCAAGGGGCGGGACCGAGCGCGAATAGAGCACTGCCGCACCCCCCTCGCGTGGTCCCACGCTGTCTTGTCACCGCCGCGCCTCGCTCCCGTTCCTCGTCGCGACAAGGCATTGACTACGGAGAACAGGCCATCCTCTCGCCACACTCAACTAGATCCCATACATTCCTGAAATAAAGTTTGTACGTAATGTTCGGTTTGCTAGACGCTGGGTTATAAGGGCGCGCTGAGGAAGGAAGGAAGAGTAGCTCCTCCGTCCTCTGTGCGTCCAGCTGCAACCATGCGTCTCGCCTTCACCTGTATTTGGCCGACTGTCTGCGTCTTCATGAGTGTCATTGCACCGCTCCAAGTGATTGCGATACCTAACGCTATCGCAAGCCTGGGGTATGTTTGCAACGATGCGAACCCTGCTTGTTTGAAACCTAATTTTGTTCCTGTGCCGTATGAGCCGCCGCCCGTTTGGAGTGACAGATGAGATAGCCTTGCATAAGGTATGGCTTATTGACGTCACGAACTGCTATCATACAATCTCACAGCATCACTTTTCCGTCAGCGGGTGGCACTTGTCGAAAGGGATTTCCCCGAAGATGTCAGGGAGAGCATAGCGCAGCTCGGCGATCTCGCACAGACATATGCTGCTTCTGTCATAGACGATATTCGCTCCACATATACCCACTACGCTGAGGAACTAGACACCATCAAGGACGCCCTCTCGAGCATCGTCCCTCTGGCCGCGCAATTCAAGGCTACCATCGGGGCTCACAGCGAAAACAACGGGAGCATCTTTGATGACATCTCCGAGCGTGTGGACGAAGTCTACGCCGGGCTTGCTGAGAAGCTCGTAGCCGCGTTCCCGCCGCCAAGTCACGCACCAGGCCATGCCACACGACAGGAGCTGTTCGATATGATCCTATCTGAAGCAGAAGATGCTATCGTGAGCGTTTGCGTCCGGGCAGGACTACCCGAGGAGGATGCGAGAGCACACTTGAGCGCATTGCGCTCTACCCTCGTCGTGATCGTCGTGACGATCGGTTGGTCATCAAATTGTTATCCATTACCTCAGGGAAGATTGATAGTGCTTTATCTCACTCTGCACAGGAGACATTGCTGAGCAGCATCCAGAACTGCTCCCTATCCTCGTAGTCACTGCGATTACCATGCTCATCCCGGAGGAATGGATTTTAGACCCTCTGATTCAGCTGTTCGGCATTGGCCCTAGCGGCCCAGAGAAAGGTACTTTTTCTCCAATTGCTTTGTTGAGTAAGTTCTTAGTCATTTGTAGGCTCGATCGCGGCGTGGGCTCAGCGTACCTTCTTCGGAGCCGAGGTGAAGGCCGGAAGCTGGTTTTCCTTGCTTCAAAGTGCGGGAATGAAGCCTGGTGCACCCGCTACAAAGGGCGTTCTAGTAAATATCCTAGGTGCAATTGGTGCACTAGGTTCCACCGTCACGGGCATCATCGATCACTGGAAGCATGAGTAGGACTTTG